CAAAACATAGTTACAACCATTTTTTTATAGTTGACATCGTAAAAATTGTAGTTGACTATCTAATTTTTATAGTTGACTTTGGGAAAAATATAGTGAACTACCGATTTTATAGTTGACTCTGAGTGTAGATGACTACAATATTTTATGTTTTCGACAACACTGATATTTTCTTTGTTTTGGACTCTGATAAAACAAATTTCATAGGAAACAAATAGTTATGAGTCAACAAATAGTGTGACCATACACTACTAGAAAATCACGATTTAGTGATGGAACTATCCGTCACTAATTCATTTAATCCGTCGCCAAAATATAGTTATCGACGGATTTCGGCCGTCGCAAATGCCATCACCAAATCCGGCCTCGCTAAATTTAGAGACAAACAACAAAAATCCGTTGCTAACGCAGCTACGAACATATCTGTCGTTAATGCATAATCAGACGTCGCTAAAACTTGACGAGTGATATTTGATTAGTGATGGCCATGTCCGTCGCTAATGGAAACTTTTACGTCGCCAGTGTTTGTAGCAAAATCCGTCGCTGCATCCGTCGAAAAAATGAATTTTCAAAATTTTGTGTATGTCACTAAATCCGTCGCTAAAACAATTTTAATTAAAAAAAAATAATTTTAAATTTATAATTCCCTGTTCTAAAACCCAAAACCATTTCAATGCATTATATACTGGAATATTCACCTCCTTACAAAAAATAAGCAACACACTTTCTCCCATAATCCACCAATCAAATCAAGACAACAAACACATGATAAAAATCAAACACTATTCTTTCTACCATAATCAGCATCCAGTCAACAATAAGATAAAAAACACCGACCTAAAAATCCATAAAATTAACCCAAACACAACTTCCGACTGAGCTAACATATCTAAATATCCACGTAATGATAATTCAAAACACAATCTTCAAGATTGTAAGGCTAAGCGCTACTACTCGTCTTCCAAACGATAAAAAATAGTCGTGATAAAAGACAATAAAAAAAATCTACCATATAAGTGCGATGCTACTGTCCATCTCTATCAGCTCCTCCAGGTTGTCTTTCACGCATCTCTTGAATGGTTGTTTTCAAGGCTTGCAATTCCTCTTGAAAAGTAGCCTGCATATCGGTTAATTTTTGTTCCACCGCTCGATTAACAGCTTCTTCGAATGAAGGAGTTTCAAATACGCATTGAGAAGGTACAGATGATGCTGAAGAAGAACCGGTTGGAGCATGAAATGTAGGACCACCTCCTTGTACAACATAACTGGACTCCGATCCGAGACCGTAAACTCTTCCTTTTATTGGCCCTCCAACTGCCTCGAGCCACGCTTTATCAATAACTTCTTTAGGAAGAGCGGATGCTATTGCCATGAATGCATCATCTTCATCTTCTTCTTCGTCTTCCTCTTGATTTTCGATTCTTGCGTCTTCATTTCCTTCGCCAACACCCTGTGTCCCAGACATGTCACTTGAATGACGACTCTTGACGATGGTTTGAAATTTAGCCTGAAACATCACAAATTTTAAGAATTAATACACATTGAATAAATATACATTTCTTTATTAAACTATATAATACATTATCAAATAAATGAAACTTGTCTAACAACATGATCAATATTCAGAAGCAGTAACTGAAGACACCAAAAAGTATTAAAAAACAATCATAAAAAATTTCCTCCAGAACTCAATTCTTGCAGCATAACATTTTTATATTATAGTAAAGTAGATGCTTACCCAGACAGATTTTGATTTTCCATCAACCCAATCATTATTCTGTTTCGTTTTGTGAATCATCAAAAATAACTCAGAAGCAGTAGGCTCTACCCCTTTCTCTTTCACCTAAAAATAAAATAAAAAACATATTTAATTGGTGTTGGTAAAATAAAATATAATTATAAAATATCAAAATTAACACTTACAAATTTTCTTTTATATTCTGAAACTGGAATTGATCCTCCTGTATGCAACGAGGGACCTAAACCATCATGACTTGAGTTTCTGTTATCAGAATTAATTTCCGATTTATCTTTAAACTTTTGGGTGTTCCAATAAGCCAACAACTCATTCCAATGATTCTGATTGATCCATTTCGGTATTATATTTTTCTCATGAAATTGTTTTCTCGCTTTGTTCAAACTATTGCTCAAACTTACACTTCCTTTATGTTCAAAATGTCTTCTTATTGTCGTGTGGTCTTCCGCGGGCCAATAGTACACTTCTGCCTGTATTCAGTATAAATAACCCATAACTACTTTTCAAATCATGACC